GGAGCTGTCTCTCGAGCGCTGAAGGCGGCGGCGCTCGGAAGATCTGCTGGGCCTGCATCGCCTTGAAAGCGCGACAGGTGGCCTGCCGAAGGTCCTGCACTCCGAATGTGTCGAACTCGATCTCCGCCTTCTCGCTGCCGACTCTCAGCGCGTTCGCTTCGCCCTTCAGCTTCTGTGTTCATGGCGACGGGCTCAGGGAATTGAGCATGATGTGGATCTTCCATGTCTGCGTTTGGCCTGGCTCCGCGTATGCTTTCTTCGCACGAAAGTGTGATAGTATGTCCGCGAAGTCCTCCCTGTTCATCACCTCCATCTGCTCCGCGAGCTGCGTGAGTATGTCCTTCGCCTCGCCGCTGATCTGGTCGCTCTTGGCGAGCTCCCGGAAGAACTCTGCCCCCGTGTGGAGGTGTGGGGATCCCATCTCCTTGCTGCCCTTGGTCTTGACCTCCTCTGTGTAGTTGACCCCTCCTTCTGCCGCGGCCCCCGCTGGTTCGTTGTCGCCCTCTGCCAGGGAGAAGTCCCATAGGCTGCCTGCGCTGTTGAGCGACATTTTCTGCAGTAGCATGGTTTCCTCGTGCGTGGCACCCTCGCCTGAGCAAGGCTTGCTGCCGGCGCTCTTCTTCGGGCTCCCACGTGCTTCTTTGTTTCGTGCTGGAGCCGTTTCTTCCGCTGCTGCCTCCATTGTGCCCGATCGTTGCCTTGATCTCGCGCCGCTGCCTGCTCTTCGCGCCATGGCTCTCTGGCGGGCCGAGCGCGTGAGTGGCCACGTGTAGTAGGTGTTCGTTAAGCTCGGAGTCCTCTTTGCCGCAGACTCCGCACGTGTAAAAGCTCTTCTCTTCTGGCTTGAAATCGAAAGAGGTGGCTCTGGTGGGGCAGCGAGGGGGTCGGAGCGGGACACGGTGATCGCGCGCCGTAGACAAGACGCTCTGCTCGCGAACCACGTTCTGCACCGCGGGCATACGTTCGTGCTCGCAATCATCGAGTGCAAGTTGCGCACGCTGTGTGCGTGCGTGATGTGTGCCGTGAGCGCCTTCGACGTGGTGAACGACATGCCGCGTCCTCGCCCTTCGCCCTCCTCTCCCAGCTCGTGCGTGCACGCGTGCTCGTCTATGATACTGCTGTTTCTGCTGCGATTGTCCCCCTCGCGCTGGTGCTCGGTGATGTGCGGGGGGGCATTGTCTCATCGAGCGTCGTGATTCCAAGCTTCAGTAAGAAAGTGGCCAACTTCTTTGAGCCTTCTATGCTAAGGAAATCCCTCTTGGTGCCCACTGAGATCTTGGCGAATCTGGTTCCGAGGTCGGGGTCTTTGAACACCTGCAGCACATGTTTCCTGTCGGTCCAAATCATGCCGAAGCGGGGGTCGGCGTTCGCTAAGGCCTCTAGATCGTCCCGAACCTGGCATGCCCTGCCCACGGTGTAGAGTGCCTCGTAAGGTGTCCCTCTGGGGTGCATCTGGAGACCTCGAGTAGCCTATCCATTTCCATGGTCCCAAAGATAGCCGTGAGGGTTTGCATGTGATTGCTAGGCTCCCTTGCTACTTGCTGCCGCCAACGGATTCGCTGTACTCGGAGCTCTGTGGCTGCACGGCTGACGTTCCTATGCTCGGATACTTCACTGTTGCTCAATGTCCTAATCCGCCCGTCGAACACACTGTTTGCTTGTCCGTGCATCAGGCAACGCGGCATCTTCGCCAGCACTGCGCCCAGCTGGCTGGTGAAGGGCCCACGCAGCACGAACGCCGCCAGGCCAGCGATGGCGGCGCTGTAAGCAAAGCGCAGGAAGAGGGTGCGCAGCAGTCGGTGATGGAGCGGCTGGTGCCAAGCGTCTCCCAGCGATCTCCATGCGGCCTTGGCTCCTTTGATGCGCGCCTTCAGCTCTGTCCTCAAAACTCCGCCGGAGCTCATGATAGGCCCCAGGATTCTGGCCGCCCGAAGGACCTCTCCCTGGATTTTTGCTGTCGGGATACTTCTCGTGCCGCTTCAAACGAGCCGTGGCCATAAAAACGGGTAAGATGGTTTGCCTTGTCCTTGTTGAGGACGTGACCGTTCTTGGCGATGTGCTCCTGGAGCTCCTGGGTAGCGCGATTGAGCTGCTGTGTGATGTAGCGTGCTTGCGGTGCATAAGCATGAATGTGTAATCGTGATACGTCGTCTACACATAGTCCTATGCCAACGTCGACTTCGGCTCGGGCAATTGGGCACTGACCACGGGCCCACGCATAACTAGCATCCGCGGCGGCGAGGCTGTCATTCCAGTCCTTCACTGTGGGCAAAGAAATATCCACAAAATCGCCTGATGCCAGCGAGTGGCCCATGGTCGTGCCGCGCTCTGGGTGAAAATATGATGTGCCATCGGTGGCCTCAACATGTATGGTTGCTTGCAATGCTGCTTGATCTGCCATCTGAGCGTCTTCTGCTCTGCATGTGCTGCTGTGTAGGCTTGTGATGCTGCTCGTATGCGCGCATGCGAATGCGTTCGTGCCGTCGTCGTTGCTGATGATGCGCCCGGGCTGTGCTTGCCTGCATCTCCAACTTGCTGCGGCTAGGCGAAGTATGCATCCTGCTCGTCTACGTCCCCTTAGCCCTCCGCGCGCAAAACCTGGCGGGAATGGTTTTCTGGAAGTCCTCTGGTGGTACCCGAAATAGCGAAGGCATCGAAGCAGTGGAGGATCAGTTGTCCCTTGGTGCCCTGCTTCTGGTTGTTCTTGCTCTGAGAGAATGCCCGGCTACGTGCGCTGCTGAGGAGGGCCCAGCCTACGTGCCTGATGAGGGCCAGCATGTCGTTGTATCTTCTTGAGAACGTTTCGGGCACGAACTTTCTGTCGCTGTCGTTTCGGTATCTCTTCGGATCGATGCGCATGCACAAGGCCTCTGCGAGTGCTCCCCATGATGGTCCAGCACGTCGTTTGGGGGCTCTTTTTAGGTACCTCACTTGGCCTGCTCGATCCTGCTTAATCATATCGATGATGTCGGGCGGGCCGTAGAGGTGGGGGAGGAACGCTCGGTCTGCTAGCCAGGCATCCCATCGTACTCGCTCACACTGCATGCCGCCGTCTTCTGCCGCCTGGGCGAGCCCCTCCCCCCGCTGCTGCAACGTCATGCCTTCGCGGGGGGCGAAGATGAATCTCTTCTTCGGCCCGCGGCCTGTGTTGGACAGTCGCACTCGCAATCGATGGGCTTCGGCCAGCCTCCTTTTCTTCCACGCCGTGTTGATCTCCTGCACAAGGCACGTTGTTTTCCTCAGCCTCTGTTCTCTTCTGACGTGTTGAACCCGTCGTGAAAATTGGCGCAGTCTGGCCCCGATGCGGTCGAACTCTGTTGATCACTCGCCGTCGAACGCCTTGGGGCCCGTCTGGTGAACTGCTTCCCTTAGGCGCCCTCTTTCTTTCAACAACAGAATCCGTTATTGTCTCATGTGTTCGTACTCTGCCGTGTCGCACGCTACTTTGGGGAAGCTGTCTGCCGTGGCCTGCCCAATGCATGATGATAACCTGTCCCAGCGCCCCCGCACGTCGCCCTGGTCCCACTTGCTGCGCCACTCATCTTCGCTGATGTCGCTGGCGTGCTGCTCGGCTTTTTGTGAGAACTCCACCCGTCGTACGCCATCGCTGTATGCTCCCATCAAGCTGCCTCTGTTCGCTGGCGGCGTCAGCTTGGGGATGTGGGCGCGCGTGACATGGATGTCCATGTTCACGTATACTGGTACGTGGTCATGCAGGTGTGTGCTGACGTGCCTTTGTAGTCGTCGCGCGAGTCCAAGCAGTGGGTGTAGTTGCCGAATCCGCCCGAGGCTCTCAATAGGCACCGCGATGTGATCTGTCTTGCTCTTGTGCGTGCCCTTGTAGAAGGTTGGCCCCGTGGTCCAGAAGGTGTCTGCCATGGCCAGGTAGCTGCCTTGGAGGAAGTCACGTACCTGCGTGCTCGTCTTGCTCTCGCTTGCGGGCTCTTTTATGCCGACATTCTCCGACTCGGTCTTGAATCTTCGCCCAGTGCGATCTGTCTGCCAACCAAATCCACAGTTGCAGTCGCCTGCAATAATCGGCATACAAGAACATCCCAGTTTGTCAACTTCTCTCTCGATCCAGTCTAAGATACATTTTGTGGTAGTTCTCAGCATTGTAACTGCCAGCCCATTCGGTGGTATGCAAATGGGGAAAATAGCCCAGCTGGTACTGCCCAAGTCGAACTGTGCCATCGCAGCCCGCCCTGTAATACCCAAATGAGGCGGTGGCGTGGCAACTCTCATGAGCGTTCCTCGAAATCTTTTTCCACACATGATACTCAATCCACACGAGTTGCTTGTGGTCTTCGATCGTCTCCATCCGAAATTTACTGCTTGATGATGCGGGAGCTGGCATTTGGTCACATCCGCTTGCCTCGCTGCTCGTCCCGTGCCGATTGCGACGGAAAAATCTACGCTTTCCACCTGAGTAGATATCTCTTTCAGTCTAGTAAAATCTGCCCATTGAACATTGTGAAATATCAACTTCATTCATTAAGCGGGTGTGTGGGGGGAGTGTGGTTGCGCTGCTGTCGCTGCTGCCCGAATGGCACCGTCCCTCTGCTCTGCCTTGGCTTCCAGCCCACAGAGATGTGGTGTGCGGGGCTGGCCTTGGGGGGGCACGCGGGCGCTTGTACCTGGGCGGCTCCTGGAAGAAAAGGAGGAGAAGGAGGAGGAGAAGGGAATGTGGGGCGGTCAGGATGGACAAACAAGGGCTCGACAGAGGTGAAACAAAAACCATGGGGGGGGGCGACCGGACGGGAAGAGGTGCTTCTGATCTGCGGGCGGAGGCGGAGCAAGTGGAATGGTGAGGAGGAGGAGGGGGGGAAGGAGGAGGAGGGAGGGGCGCAGGAGGAGCAGTTAGGGAGGAGATGGAGGAGCAGAAGGAGGAGAAGGAGAAGGAGGAGGAGGAGGAGGAGGAGGAGAAGGAGAAGGAAGAGGAGGATCAGGAGGAAGAGGAGGAGGAGGAGAAGGAGGAGAGAGAAGAGGTAGGATAGCTCCTCGCAGCAGCTGCCGTGAGACGCACAGTCCGGGTTGCACTGGCAGCTCCGTTCGGGGTCGAAGGAGTCGACGCAGCCTGACGTCGAGCATTCCTCCTCGGTCATCACTCCTCCTCACCTGGTTCCTCGTGCCCATCGCTCCTAATCCTCCTTTTCCGTCCCTGTTCCTGGAAAAAAAAAGTCCTCCCTCTCGCACCCCCAGACGTGTCGGACGTTTCGCCAGGGACGTCGGGCCGGGCGGACCAAGAGGTTCCTCCCCGTCCCCAGGGCGGGCCGCGTATTTCGCCGAAAACTTCGTCACCATGTATGATCCTGAAGCTTGACATTGGCAACAGCTTCAAGATGGAGGTTCAGGGGTGGAGGGCGAGTGGATTTCAAAATGTTGCTCTCGCCGCAGTGCCGAGCACATTCGTCTTCAAGGTGTGTAACAGCTTCACGGATCGAGGGCGGGCGTTTTTTTTATGCTGCTGTCGGCTCGGCGCCGCGGACATTCGTCTTAAAAGTTGGTGGCAGTTTCAATTATGACGGCGGTTCTTTTGCAGAGCGTGGCTCTTGCTACAGTGCCGCGCACATTCGTTCTGAATATTCGCAACATGTCAAGGATCCTCATGGTCGAAATCCCAGGATCAGCGTTCTGGCAAACTTTGGGATCGTCCGGACACCAAAGTCATTTTGTTTCGCGGTGTGGACGGTCTAAGAACGCCGTTCTGGCACGATTCAGGATTGACAGGACGCAACGGTCACGTCGACTCGCGACGCTGACGTCCCAGGAATGTTGTTCTGACCTGATAAAACATCCCCAGAGGGTCTTCCAATGGGGAATTCCCCAACATGACAGTCTATTATTATAGGGCCCTATGAAGAGGGAACTTGGATAAGGGTTTGTTGCGACATCGTTGAGGCGTCTTGGGTTCACACACGTCCTCATCCTCCTCCAACTTTTCCCCTTATCGTCAACCCTCGTCCTCCGTTCCTCTTCCTCATACATGAATCCTTCCTGTCGCCGCACCCCTAGGCGTGTCGGTAGGGCGGGCCGGGCGTTTCGCCTGAGATTTCCTCACCACGTGTGATCCTGAAGCCTGTACTTGGTAACCGCTTCGCGGATGGAGAGCGGGCGGTTTCCAGAGTGTTGCTCTCCCCTTACCGCCGCGGCGCCGCGGACATTCGTCTTAACAGTTTGTACCAGCTTCAGGAGGGAGGAGGAGGAGGAGGGGAGGGGGGAGGAGGAGGAGGAGGAGGAGGAGGAGGAGGAGGAGGAGGAGGAGGAGGAGGAGGAGGAGGAGGAGGAGGCGGAGGAGGGGGAGGAGGAGGAGGAGGAGGAGGAGGAGGAGGAGGAGGAGGAGGAGGTGGTTTTCAAAATGCTGCTGTCGACTCGGCGCCGCGCAAATTCATCCTACACTTGTACACGGGCGGAGGGCCCGCGAGTTTCAAAATGCGGCTCTCGCCTAGGGAGGAACACGTGCTCGTGTTGCAGCAGCTTCGCGGATGGAGGGCGGGCGGCTTCAACATGTTGTTGTTCTTCTGCGCCGCGCACCTTCGTCTTGCAGTTTCTTGCAAGTTAACAACAGCTCCAAGGAATCGCATGGGCGAAGTCACAAGAACAGCGGTCTGGCACGATGTAGCGTGGCTGGGACGCAACCGTAACGTTGACTCGCGGCGCTGAAGTCCCAGGAATGGTAGGCTAGCGTGGTTTAGAACTGCCAAGGCGCAACAGTCATGTTGCTCGCGGCGCTGAAGTCCCAGGAGCGGCGCTTTCTCACGATTATGGATTATCATACGGTTGTCTTCTAATATGGTACACTCCCAGCAATGAAAATCCAGTCGTGTAGGAACCTGTAGAGAGGATACATGAAGCGAGGATACATTAGACCATCGTTGGTGCGTCTTGGGTTTTCACTGGTCTTGCTCCCCCTCCTACTCGCTGTTTGAACCCCTCCTGCTCCTCCTCCTTCTCTTCCTCCGCCTCCCCCTCCTCGTCGCTCCTCCTCCTCCTCCTCCTCCTCCTCCTCCTCCTCCTCCTCCTCTCCTCCTCCTCCTCCGCCCCCTCCTGCTCCTCGTCGAGCAATCCGCCTTGCTCCTGCTCCTCCTCCCCCTCCCCCTCCCGATCCCTGCTCCTGCTCATCCTCACCTTTCTGCTGGTCTGCCCCCACTGTTCTGCCTCGCTCCTGCTCCCGCTCCGGGTTGCCCTCGAGCCTCGAGGATGTGCTCCTCCTCCTCTTCCACATGCAAAACCCCTGGATCACAGAAAACAAGAAGCAAGAGATCTTCAATGTCGGACTCTCGGGGCTCGTGCTCGTCTCCGTCGCCCAACTCCAACGACTTGTCAAAACAAAATGTCCCCAGGATGGGGTCGAGAGATCCAGCGGCTCGAGCTACGAAGAAAGAAGAGAGGGCCGTTTGGGCCTCCTTAAGCTCCATGATCTGTCCTCTTCCCGTCCTCCTTCGTGGTCTTGCCTCGTCCCCCCCCCCCCCCCATTCTCATCGCACTCCTCTGCTCTCCTCCTCGCTGTCCTAAGCCGCCTCCCCCTACTCTCCCTCCTCCTCCTCGTCTTCCTCCTCCTCATTCTATTCATCATGATCCTTCTTTTCGTCAGCATCCTGCTCCTCCATCATCCACCCTCGTCCACATCCCTCCTCCTCCTTCTCCCGCCCCTCCTCATCCTCATCATCATCCTCAATCCGATCATCATACACCATACTCAAAACCATCTCTATCGACAACAACATGACCCTCCGCATCAGAATCGGCCTCGTGGTTGTCATCATAACCATCATCAGCAGCATGAGCATCAACAAAATGAGCGTCACCCGAATCAACATCATCGTCATCTGCATCATGGTCATCATCATCATCATCATCATCATCATCATCGTCATCATCATCATCATCATCATCATCATCATCATCATCGTCATCGGCGTCATCAGCAGCACCAGCGTCAACATGATCATCATCAACATTACCATCATCAGCACCATCAGCACCACCATCATCAGCATCATCATCAGCATCAAACCATTATCATCATTATCACCATCACCATCATCATCATCATCATCATCATCACCATCGCCATCATTAGCATGTTGATGATCATCATCAGCATCATCATCGTCATCAGCATCATCATCGTCATCATCATCGTCTTCGACGTCTTCATCGTCAGCATCGGCATCAATATCAGCACCATGATAAACATCATCGCATTCATCAGCTTCACCATCGCCTTCACCATCCCCTCACGATCATGATCATGAGCATCATCAACAACATCACCATCACCTCTGTCATCTTCACCATCATCGGCGTCGTCGTTGGCATCCGCATCACCAGCATCGTCAACATCACCATACCCATCAGTATCACAATCACCATCACGATCATCGTTATCGTCATCAGCGTCGTCGTCATCACCATCGTCGTCAGCATCAGCAGCATCATCATCACCATCATCGAGATCATCATCGTCGCCGTCATCATCAACATCATCGTCGTCATCAGCAACATCATCAGCATCACCATCACAATCGTAACACCGACGTCTCTTCCATCATCCCTCATCCTCCCTCCTCGTACCTCCTTTGGCGCTGTCCATTCATATTTCCTGCGCGTTCATCCCTCTCCCTACTCACTCTTCGTACTCGGCATATCTCCCTGCCACGTTCTCCTTCCGCCTCCTCGTCCTCTCCTCCCCCTCCTCCTGCTCCTCTTCCGTCCCGTCCGACATACCTCTCTGCGTTTCCTCCTCCTGCTCCTCCTCCTCCTTCTCCTCCTTCTCTTCCTCCTCCTCCTCCTCCTCCTCCTCCTCCTCCTCCCCCTCATCACCATCATCATCATCATCATCATCATCATCATCATCATCATCATCATCATCATCACCATCATCATCATCATCATCATCATCATCATCATCATCATCATCATCATCATCATCTCATCAGCAGCATCATCATCATCATCATCATCATCATCATCATCATCATCATCATCATCATCCTCATCATCATCATCATCATCATCATCATCATCATCATCATTATTAGTTTCATCATCATCATCATCATCATCATCATCATCATCAGCATCAGCATCAGCATCATCATCATCATCATCCACATCATCATCATCATCATCAGCATCATCATCTCATCATCAGCATCATCACCATCACATCATCATCATCATCATCATCATCCTCATCATCATCATCATCATCATCATTATTAGTTTCACCATCATCATCATCATCATGATCATCATCATCATCATCATCATTAATTTCATCATCATCATCATCATCAGCATCAGCATCATCATCATCATCAGCATCATCATCATCATCATCATCACCACCATCACCATCACCATCACCATCACCATCACCATCATCATCATCATCATCAGCATCAGCATCAGCATCATCATCATCATCATCATCATCATCATCATCATCATCATCATCATCATTATTAGTTTCATCACCATCATCATCAGCATCATCATCATCATCATCAGCAGCAGCATCACCTTCACCACCCATCATCACCACCAGCATGATCAACGCAAGCAGCAACACCAGCATCACAGCCACCGCCACCCTCACCATCGCCCCGTTGTCCTTCCCCTCCTCCATCTTTCTCCCCCTCCACGGGTGGACGGCTACGCGAGGGGCAGCCAACGGGGGGGTAGGGCGGAGCGCACAGCCCCCGGACCGCCGACCCCCGCCCAAGAGCGCGGGGGGGGGAGGCACCCGTCGGCGCCCCGTCGGCAGGATGACGTGGCCCATACACCCTGCGAAATGCTTAAGAAATCCTGGGTTAAGAAATTCATAGTCTCAGAACTTGGATAGAAAACCCAACATGTCCATGGAAATCTTAGGATTCACATTGAAACGTTAAGAAAAATCGAGACTCTGGCCGAAAACTTGAGTTTTCTTAAGCATCGCCCAAGGTGTACGGTTGGACCTAGGGCAGAAGAACATCCTTCACTAACATGAGACCCCCCGCCGGCCAAAGCACCCCAAACCATAAGATCACGCGAGGCACCCTCCGAGCATCCAGCAAGCACGAAGAACATGAGGGGGCCCTCCCCGAACCGACCTCGGTCTTATACCTCGGCCTGGCTGCACGGTGAAGACAGTCGGATGGAACCACCATCGGATATGGGATCCTGGGTCTGGAAGCCTGTGGGACTCCAACCGTGGATTGGCCATGGACACAACCACCGCCCTCATCAGATACGGTCGGGAGCCTCTGCTCAGCCTGTGGCCCAGGCGCCCCCAGCGACACGCTGTGATTTGCAGGCGGATGGCGTGTCGCTCCGCTCTGGGGGGGGGGCGGGAGGTCGGGAAGCGCTCGAGACGCTGGCACTGGGGAACCAGGATTAAGTCGGGCCTGTCCTCCTACAGGGGGATTTTGGGTGGAAGAATTAATAAAAACTGCACCAAAATAATCAAACAATACACAAAAAATAGTCCCCAGACTATTGTTTGACTATTTTCGAATCTCCCCCCTGTAGAGGGGCAGGCCAGACCCAAAACCAGGACGTGGAGGGCGCGTCGCCCAAGAGAGCGGTGGCCCAGAACGGCGGCGCGACGCGTTTGCCCCAAGCTGAAGGGGCTCTGGGACACACAAATACATACACACAAACAAGATTATTCCCCATAGTTTCCCATATTTTCTGGGTTTCTATCCTCCCCCCACTTCCCATATGTTCCAACAGTTTCAGAGAAATTGACGATTAATTGTGCCTGCGTGTCTCTTTCCCTCCTGACAAGCTCCTGACCGCAAGGGGTCCACCAGGATCCGACGCCCCCCGGGCACACTCCTCCACGGCCGCCGGCCCCCAGAGAGGAGCAGCGGTGCTCCGCCTCGCGCGCGTGCGCGCGGCGGCCGCCTGGGGCTTGGGGGAGCCTTCCTGGCGGCCTCTTGTGGACCTCCGCGGCCCCATCACCGGCGTGACTTCGACCGGATGTCGTCCCGACTTCGGCCGCCCCCCCTCACCCTTTCGTCCAGGGGTTGCCCAGATCTCGTCCAGGCGTCGACCAAATCCGACGAGATCTGGACGGAGTGCCCCCGGACCGCCAGGGATTCTGAGGCCCTCCGACCACGCATTGGAGCGCGTGGCGGAAGGCGGCGCCCCTCGACGCCGGGCACGTGCGTCCGTGGCCGTGCGGTCACCGCCAGAGCACGCGCGTGCACGTCGGCGGCGCGCCCGGGGGGGGGGGGGGACGCGCGAGGGGGCAGGCCCTGGAAGGGGGTGGTGGGGCTTCTGTGGAGCCCTCCCGCCGTCTGAGGGGCCGCGCGTGGTGTCGGCAACGGGTCCAGAGAGCCTCCCTGACCACCTGCCAGACCACCCCGACCCGACCCGAAGACCCGAATCCGAAGACCTCTGATCTCGAGTGGGGGGGGGGATACGAGCCTCAGCAGCTGTTTTTTGTTTCTTTTGTGTCTCCCGTGCTCCCCGACCTGGAGGGCAACGCGGGGCCCTTCGGGCTCGGTTGAAGGGGGACTGAGACACACAAACAAATACACACAGATAAAAAGATTCCCCATATTTTCACATGTTTTGTGGGCTTTTGTCTTCCCCCCCACTTCCCATATTTTCCCATATTTTCGGGGGAATCGAGGATTCATTGTGTCTGTGTGTTTTTTCCTCTCCTGATGGGTCGGGGTGGCTCGGTGTGCGGTGCTGCTCGGACGGCCGAGGGACTCCCGAGCCGCGCGGGGAGGCCCGCCCCCTCGGGCGCTCCCTCCCCGAGGCGCGCCGCCGAGCGCGGCCGGTGCACGCACAGCCGCCGCAGCCTGCGCCGGCGTCCTGCTCCTCCTCCTCCTCCTCCTCCTCCTCCTCCTCCTCCTCCTCCTCCTCCTCCTCCTCCTCCCTTCCCCTCCTCCCTCCTCCTCCCTCCTCCTCCCTCCACCTCCTCCTCCTCCCTCCTCCTCCCTCCTCCCCCTACCCCCCTCCGCCTCCTCCTCCTCCTCATCCTCCCCTCCTCCTTCCTCACCTCCTCCTCCTCCTCCTCCCTCCTCTCCTCCTCCCTCCTCTCTTCCTCTTCCTCCTCCCCCTCCTACCCTCCCCACCTCCTCTCTCCTCCCCATCCTCCTCCTCCTTCTCATCTCCCCCTCCCTCCTCCTCCTCCTACTCCTCCTCCTCCTCCTCCTCCTCCTCTCTCCCCCCCTCCGCCTCCTCCACCTCCGCCTCCGCCTCCGCCTCCGCCTCCGCCTCCTCCTCCGCCTCCGCCTCCGCCTCCGCCTCCTCCTCCTCCTCCTCCTCCTCCTCCTCCTCCTCCGTCTCTTCCGTCTCCTCCTCCTCCTCCTCCTCCTCCTCCTCCTCCTCCTCCTCCTCCTCATCCTGCTCCTCCCAGCGTCCTGCCCCTCGGGCGACGCACGCAGGGAGGCAGGCGCCCTTCGGAGCCCCCCCCGTCGGCTGCCCCCCCTCGGTGGCTCAGAGGTGGGTAAAACGACGCGAAGATCGGGACAAAATCGGATCGGGATAACTCGAAATCTCTGAGAATCGGCGGGTTTGGAGGATGTATTGGGCGCCGCGGCCGCTCCAGAGCGTTCCGGAACGCTCTGAGAGCGCTCCGGAACGCTCTGGAGCGATTTATCCCGATCCTAGCCCTGTTTTAGTGGGGCCCTGAGGGGTGGGGTCCCAAGGACGAGGCGCCTCGAGCAGAGCAAATCTGCCCCGGGATCCCTTCCTATCCTCAGGACCCCATCCCTCAGGACCCCATCTCTGAGCCACCGACTCTCCTCTCCGTCCACCCGATTTTCCTGCACCCCGGCCGTAGTCTTTGCAGGTCTGCTCGTCGGCAGGAACGGCATCGGCATCGCCAGCGTCGTCCTCGTCGCAGCCCTTCTGCTTGTTGGCGCAGCACCAGTCCTTCTCTGAGAAAGAAAGAAAGAAAGAAAGAAAGAAAGAAATAAAGAAAGAAAGAAACACCTCAGAGGGGTTCGGGTGCCTGGACTGGTGCGCCCGTCACGGTCTCAATCACCGCCGTCGAGGCCATGTGCATGCGCTGCTTCACTGTTTCTTGTTGGCGCAACAGCGGATAACATGTGCACGCGGGGTGATTTTGGTTGGGCGGGGCGGTGCTTGATGGGGTGGGGCCCCGCTTTCACCAAATACATTTCTTACAGGTTAGCTACTGGTGGAGGTTTCCAATGGCGCTCCAGCGGGAGGAAGAGGAGGAAGAGGAAAAGGAAGAGGAGGAAGAAGAGGAGAAGAACGAGCAGAAGGAGAACAAGGAGGAACCCAGAGGGCCTGGCCGCACCAAGGGAGAGGAGAGGAAGGAGATAGAGAGGGCGGAAGGCGGATGGGGGAAGAGAAGACGACGTGCCGCTCGCGGGCACGAGCCTGTTCCGGAAGCTGTGGCGCCTCGTGGCCTCCGGCCGTGCCGGCCCCCTGCGCATCACCCCGTGCCCCGTGCCGGCTGGAGGCGGCGGGGGGGGGGGGCGAGCTGGATGGGCCCCGGGGAGGTCGGCCAGGAAGGGGAGCTGGAGCCGAAGCCGCTCAACATCGGCCCCTGGCCCCCCCCCCTCCCAGGCCAGCGATGGGGAGGGCTGGGGCAGCGCGCAAGACACGGGCAGGGCGGGAGGGGCGGCCCCCCTCGCAGGGCAGCGAGGCGGCGGGGCGGCTGCTCCGCCCCCTGGAGCGCTACAGCTCCGCTGCCTGAGCTCGCCACGGCGCTGGCCCAGCGTCAAGACAAGAGAGGAGGAGGAGGAGGAGGAGGAGGAGGAGGAGGAGGAGGAGGAGGAAAAGGAGGAGGAGGAGGAGGAGCAGCAGGAGGAAGAAGAGGAGGAGAAAAAAGGAGAAGGGGTGGGGGGGAGGGGGGGCGGGGCAGGAGGGAGGAGGGCTGGAGGGCCTTCTGAGAGGGCAGGGGGGGCTCTCTGCGGAAAGGCGGGCCTCCTCGCAGAAGGCCTCCCGGCCGAGGTCTCAGAGGAGCTGGCCCCCCCGGTGCCCCTCGAGAGGGCTGCCTCTGGCGTGCCTTCCGAGCCGCGTCCCCAGCCGTGGCGACGGGGGGTAGGTGGGGGAACCAGCAGGCACCGATACCGCTACTCGACGAGCCTGCCCTGGGGCGAATCCTCACCCGCACCTCGAAAAGAGTCCAGCCGTGGCGACGAGGGCTCTCCAGGACGACCTCCTCCTCCTCCTCCTCCGCCTCCTCCTCCTCCTCCTCCTCCTCCTCCTCCTCCTCCTCCCCTTCTCCTCCTCCTCCTCCTCCTCCTCCTCCTCCTCCTCCTCCTCCTCCTCCTCCTCCTCCTCCTCCTCCTCCCTCCTCCCTCGCTGCGGAGAGGAAGCGAATACACAAAAGAAAGCGAGGCCCTCCCGGCCAAGCACGCTTCTTCTGCGCGCAGCCAATAGAATTCCACCATGCCATAAGGCTGGTGAGAGGAGGCTGGCCGGGCCCCCGCCGTGTCGGACCAAACGTCAGAGAATCCTGCATCGGCTGCTTTTCGGCGGTGGACAAACCTCCCTTTAGTAGACCTCCCCTCAGTGAAAACGGCCTGAGACCGAAACCGACGGACCTGGACCCGCAAAAATGACGGCCGCGACGCCCTCTCGCGAACCGAAAACGGCCAATTCCTTAATCGACGTGTCAGGGTAGGAGGTCTGTCCAACCCCGAGCTTTACGCGCTCGGCCGATTATTCAGCCTCCGGACGCCTCCCGTCAACTACATGCCAGGGAAGCCTGGGCAAGACTGATCTCTCTGTCTGGTGCGCGGCTGCAGGAGACCGCGCGGGGGGGGGGGGCAGACCCAGACGCGCAAGCCGATTCGGAGCGTGGATTTCTGGAACACTCCCCAGGCTGCCAGGCGTTCGTCGGAGCCCAGGAAGGAAGAGGAGGCCAGAGCGCGGCGACGCTCCTTCTTGGCGCCGGACCAGCCCGCCCTCCGGCTAGGAGCACGCCAACTATATGCACCCTCACCGACCCAGGCCAGGCCCATCCTGGGCCTGGGATCCTCTGGGAACGGAAGGGAACGGGAGGGGGGGGGACAG